TTTACTTACTTCTTCTTTCTTCTCTCTCTCTCTCTCTCTCTCTCTCTCTCTCTCTCTAGGAGATACATTTCTTGATTTTGCATCCGAGCCTTGATGTAGCATATGATAACGTTTTGTTCTTTTGTTTATGTCTTGAGAGTTTCATTTCCTTTTAGAGAAAGAAATGTTTTGGGGCTTCATAACTGCTGCGAAATCTGACTCTGGCCATATTAGAGGACAAGATTATTCTCTCACTGCAATCTCTTTCTCTCTCTAAGATTGCGTGTGTCCATGGAATAGATTCTTCAGAAATCTCTTGATTTGCATGTCTGTCTTCCTCATGACGTTTCAATTCCCAAAGAGCAAATCATGCAATCCTTTGGTGACGTGAACCATTTGTTTGTTTTCCTTTTTGGTGAATCGTCCTCTCTGATATCTTACTGCACTTACAGTTCTTTTCCTTTGAGGAAAATTCACTGGAGAGCACCACCTTGAGCAATGGTATGTATATGCATGATTGGTTTCTCAATTGTATGTACAGCTCTACACACGTGCAAACCTGCGCGTGTGAAATATACATATGTATTATTGGCTAATATTCTCATTGTATCTGAAGTTTGTTGTTGTGTTAAATCTCTTGGATACTTTGCCAAAAAGAATGTTTCTCCAATGCCTCAGAAGCCTTTTTTTTCTCAACCATAGTAAATAAGAATTTTTTGTTTTTTGTTTTTTGTTTTTATTTTTTATTTATTTATTTTATTTTTAACTTAGCATATAAAATTATGGGCATCTTATGACATTTACCAGATTAATCGAAAACCTAGCATAACTGACTAGCATTCAGCTAATATAAAGCACAAGTGAAATGAAACTTGAATTTATGAAAATGAAATTACGAGATAAACATAAAATTAGAAGGAAAAAGAGAGAAAATGAGAAGTAAGAGAAAGACCTCCAACATGAGATCCTTCAAGTCTTATTACCCTACAAGAATGAAATAATGGCAATTTCTTTGGAGAAAAGTTTGTGAAATACCAGAAAGGTATTTCATTTACAAAATGGGATGGTAATGTTGAGAGAGGAAAGATATGACACTGTTCTTGTAAATGTCTTGTTAATTAGTAGTATTTTAAGGGAGATTATTTTTTTGGGAGGTTTTGCAACCATTCTCCCCACATACAGGATTTGTGACTTAATAAATGCAATTTATTGAGGGGATATGTTATTCATGATATATTAATGGTTTTAAATCAAATTTTTTAAAATCTAGATCTTTTAAAGGAAAAAAGGTAATTTTTGACCTTGAGTTGCATGTGTTATTTACAGGGAAATGCATATTAGTTAGGTTGAACTCTTTTAATTTTAAACTTTCTTTCGAAGTAAACATTAGAAGTCCTAAAGAAGTGAATCTTACAGATAAAGAACTTACATCTAGTTTGGATGTACCATTTATTCATGAGTAATTCCATCTTCTTTCCCACCCCCATTCGTGTATACTAATGACAATTGTTTGGTCTGCTACAGCCATTCATGAGTAAGCCCTTCTTCTGCAGGCGTATTTGAAGAAAAGCCACAAAATGTTCAGCACCTATTTAAGAATGAAATCAAAGCTGCCTTGTCATATTCATGGATTTACCCATTCATCGATATATTCATGTAAAAGAGTTTTTCTTATTGGGTTAGTGGTGGGCTTTGAGCTTGGGTTGTAGTATTGCGATGGTCAACACCATAGCCAACCAACATAGTGCCCTAAACCTCAATAGAATAATAAAGATATGGAAGTTCATCAATAAGATACATTTAGTGCATATCAAAATCTAACAAGTGCCTATCTTCTATAAAAAAAATTTGCTTCTCCATGACAAACAATCATGTATGCCCTCGTTGGAAATGTTGGAAGAAGGGAATTAGATACAAGACTAAAACCTTATGTGCAATGACAAAATTCCCTGTAACGTAATTACGTGTTTTGTGTGTATTAGGTGTTTTCTTAAGCTGTAAATCTTTGACAGTGAATTGCACAAGGAAAGAATGCCCCTCACCTTCGGTTGCCTAACAATCATGGATTGGGGCATATCTACTATGTGTGAAGAACAGTCTTGAAAGTTCTTCGTCAAATATGGGCTGCATTTCATTATATAAAGAAACGTCTAACCTTTTGTTTGGCTTGATGTTACCTGGTTTCTATGACACTTTCCATTTCCCATAGCAGATAATAAAAAATTAGCCTAAGTAGTATTTTGCTACACAAGGGTAGAGGAATCTATATCCAAAACATCTGGACTACATTTGTGATATTCACTGTTAAACATATACATAACAGAAACCAATAGACGTGTGTTGCACACGTCATTATTTGGTGGATATATTACGTTTTCTTTTTTTTTTGTATGAGATCATATACTTAAAATCAATTAATTTGATACTAGAAATGTGATTATGGGAAACGTATAGGGGCAAAAGTTTCTTATATTTCCAAAAAATGACCTAAAAGCTTCCAATGAGTGAGTGTGACGGATACCTCCACACATATATATATATATGTCATAAGTTATGGGAACCATGAGGGTAAGGCCACGGTCCCACCTTAGGAACTGAATCGTATGGTTCCTCTTAAGTGATCTTAAGTGATCTTAGAGGGAGCTGGATTTAGAGAAATTGGGATCTTGCTCCCTATAATATGGGATCTCACTCTAAATGCTTGTGTGCTCTCCCTCCATGGAGGAGAACTATACCATTAATAAAACTATTGTTCCTCTCCATGGTATTATAAGTCAATTTCTTTAGAGAATGTTAAATTGTGGTGCATATCACGTTGTGGTATACTAGAATTATGGTATCAAAATATGACAGTTTAATACCATAGTACGTCAATTTATGATATTATTAAATTGTGCTATTGTAGTAAATTGAAGCAGTGTAACTATGGCAAAGGTAATTTGTAATCTGCTAAGGTGTATGATAATAGATCGAATGGGCATGGGCTCGATCTTAATTTTATCATGTACTATAAATTGATCCCGTTTTACGTGTAGTTGAGTTTAGATCCCTCTTAATCAAAAGCTCGATCTTAGTGACATGGAATCTCGCTCCTAGGTATCCTAGGATCTAGCTCCTTACGTTGTTGAATGTAGGTACATTGATCCTAACCCCCGCGAACTTCCTACCCATGGGGGTTCAGACGTTCAGTGTTCCCTGAAATGATTGTGCTTCCGAATCTGCTCCTGCTCCCAAGACCTATGATACATGCTTACCTAGGACAAGAACATGGATATCAGTGTTAGTCATGTGTCATAAATCACAACCCACAATTGTTATTTTGTACACTAGACATCCTTACATAATTTACAGAGGGTTCACAGGTGGGAATGTGATAGTGGGGATTTTCATATTAAGATTCTAGTGACAACAGTGAAGCGGAAATTTCTCATTTTCTAAGGTATCTGATATGTGTATGGAGTCCTTAGCGTGTAAAACCACGCTGAGAATGTTGAACATGTCTCTCCAAGTTGCATAGATATACATGGATCTATAATCTATAGTCATATAGGATGTTCATCTAATTTGAATGTTTGTTCCTATGTGTATGGCAGCATCATGTAGCCCAAGTTGATGAAGAGCTATCAACTTTGTCTTAGGGATGTAGTACAATTTGTTTTGTTTGGATTATAGGCTTGTATGCTATATTTCTAATACAAAATGTTTAATTTGCATACACTAGCAAATCCACATGGCTGCTGAAATTCTAAGGAACTTGGCAACACCTTCCATAGAATTGACCTAGACTAAAACTTGAAAATGCACCTTCTTCCCGTCATCAAAATATCATACCAAAAAGACCTTAGTTGTTGAGGTTAGGCTTTGATTCATTTCTTGTCTCAAATATTCACTTGTAGTATTATGAATGATAAATATGATTTCTTGAAAATTGCTAACACACCATGTTCATTGTTGGAGGAATGGTTCATTGCCTTGTTGAGCTCACCTTGGAACTTGATCCTTATAGCTCAATTCATGAATGTGCCCATTCAAGACAAACACATGTCAAGGTTTGTGTATATTTGGAATGACATTCATTTAGATCTCCCTTTCTCATATGAAATTCTTGTATGATTATTGTTTTAGCAGTCTTAGGTGCCATTTTTTTTGGGTGAATCAGTGGGGATTTGGTCCCCTACCCTTAGTGAGAATGGAGTCCGAGACTCTATCTTGGGGCTCGGTGGTTCTAACACTTAGGCCCCGGCCCATGCACGTCTTAGGTGCCATTGAGGCTTCACCTCCGTGATTCATTTGCTAATGTATGGTAATTGTACCACTAAAAATGATTATCTAGGATCTTTTCTCATTGTTATTGTCTAGTATATTTCAATGGTCTCCCTGTCCTGATCTACGCCTGCTGACATTTCAATGGGCCTTAAGTGTGGAATTGTATGTGGTTTTCTGGATGCATCTTTGGCTATGGACCAGTTAGAGGTACTTCTGTTTGTATTTGTGTAAGCTGCTTCTCTAGAATCTCTCACTGTTAGTTTATATGAATGCT